GCTGCTGCTGCAGCAGCAGCAGCAGCAGGCAACTCAGACAGCGTCGGAGAAGCCGATAGTGCAGTAGAAGGGGGCCACGTGGGATTACCCTGAGCTGGGTCTCCGGGGGGCCCCCGTGGGGGGCCCTCCTGGGGGCCCCCCGACCCTTGTGGGGGACTAGACACCATTTAGTGTCGGCTATTGTCAGTGGCCGCCGCTGCAGCGGCAGTGCGCTGCTGCAGCATTTGCTGCTGCTGCTGCTGCTGCTGCAGCAATTGCTGCCACCGCTCCAGGCGCGCGAACTTGCTGCGCTGCGCCTGCTACTTGGATACCTGATGCTGCCCTCCGCCTGCTGCAGCAGCTGCTGCTACTGCTGCTGCTCCTGCTGATACACTGCTGCTGCTGCTGTTGCTGCAGCTGCTGCTACTGTTGCTGCTTGTGCTTCTGCTGCAGTAGACTGCGGCCAACACTGCCGTAGTCTCTAAGTTCACAAGAGATAAGAACTGCTATCGTTACTGCTGCTGCTGCAGCTGCAGCTGCAGCTGCAGCTGCCGCGGCCGCGCCCTCTGCTGCTGCTGAGGGAGGCGGTGCTGCCGCTGCCGCCGCAGCTGCTGCTCTATGCCTTGTGGAGGAGCTGCTGCTGCTGCAAGCAGCAGCAGCAGCAGCGGATACCGCCGTCGTTTCTGCTGCTGCTGCTGCAGCTCAAGCACTGCATGCAGCAGAAGGCGCGCACGACCTGAGCTGCCTATACACCTGAATAGCAGATAAAATAAACCTGAACAAAACCAACTTTTTCTCTTTTTACCCCTCAACAAATATGGCATTTGAAGCTTCTTTTGCTGCACACGCCTGCTGCGCGCTAGCGCTACCAGGGGCCCCCAAGGGGGCCCCCACGCCTCCGCAGAAGGTCCAAACCATGTACCCTAAACCCTAAACCCTAAACCCTAGACCCTAATGCCCAATACTGCACTGAAATATATCCTTTCAGGAGAGACCCAGTGGGGCTAAAAAAAGGGGAATTCGCCTCCTTGAAGAGGGGAGAGACAAAACGTTCCTTATCCGCAGCAGTGCTGCTGCAGCTGCCGCTGCTGCTGCTGCTGCTGCTGGTGCTGCTGCTGGTGCGGCTGCAAATGCAGCAACACGAAGAAGCAAAAGCTCCGAGTCCGGGAATTGAACCCGGGTCTTCCGCGTGACAGGCGGAAATACTAGCCACTATACTAACTCGGACTGGAGGGAAAGGGAGCAGCAGCAGTAACATTGTGCGCGCAGCAGCAGCAACATCGTAGGCGCACCAGCAGCAACATAGTAGCTGCAGCAGCAGTAACACTCGTAACTGCAGCAGCAGCAATGCTCCAGCTGCAGCAGCAACAGCACCTATTGCTGCTGCTTTGCTCGGTCGCTGTACCTGCTGTTACTGCGGCCAGTTGACTAATTCACAGAATTCTGCTGCTGCTGCTGCTGCTGTTGCCGCCTCTGATGCTGCTTCAGCTGCTGCTGCAGCTGCTTGCGCTGATACCGCTGCATTAGCATCATGTTTTCTGGTTGCTGCGTTTGCTGCTGCTGCTGCTGCAACTGCTGGTGCTGCTGCTGCTGCAGTTGCTGCAGCAGCCGCCAGTCCGAGTTAGTATAGTGGCTAGTAATTCTGCCTGTCACGCGGAAGACCCGGGTTCAATTGCCGAACTCGGAGTTTAACAACTGTTTTAGTTTTAATTTTTTAATTTTAATTCTCATTCATCATTTTAGTTCTCATTTATAATTTTAATTATCATTTATCGAAAAAGAGTTCTTATACGCGTTTTCCTGGCAATTAATTGTAGAATTTGAGGACTTTTTGCGTTTTTATCCTTTCTGGCCCCACAGTGCCTTTTGCTGCTGCTGCTGCTGCTCCTAATGCTGCTGCTGCTGCTGCTGTTCTTGCGGTTTTTTGCTGCGCATTTTCGGGGGCCGCTGTGGGGCGCAGCAGGCAGAGCCGCGGGGCCCCTGCTGAGGACTAGTTTGGGCTTTTGGAATTTAAACAAATCATTTTGAATTCGTTTCGAGAAAATGAGCTGCAGACTTTGCATGCAAAAAGCCCCAAATGTGCAACAAGAAAGAAAATTTCAAATAGGTAGTTTTGCTGCTTTTACTCGCCTCCAAACGCATGCATGCAGCATGCATGCGGCATGCATGCAACTTTGCTTTTACTTGTGCTGCTCTGCATGCAAATAAAAGCATGCGGAGATAAGTATATTTTACTCAGGAAAAAGCAAATTCTCATGCTTAAATGCATGCATTTAACATATATTAATTACCTCAATGCATGCATTCAATGTATATTTATTGCTGAGATGCATGCATTTAATATATTTTTATTACCTTGATTCATGCATTCAACATATACTTGCTGCTAAAATGCATGCACTGATATATATTTGTTTTTTAAATGAATTTATTTGCCTTTTTAGGCGAATTATATTTACTTTTATAAGCCTCTAGATGTGCATATCTGTTTATTTTGCATATCTGCATTTTTATTTTTAACTTTTAAATTCAAATGGAATGTTTAATTTGCAAAATCTGCAAAAGCGGAAATTTGAAAATGTTGCATTTTGGAGTGTACGTACACGTGGCGGGCGCAGCACGCAAGTGTCTGCAAACGGCGGCTGCTGCTGCTTGCACAAATATTTAAAACCTTTTTATTTAAATTAAATTAAATTCATTAGTTTAATTCTTTTATTTTATATTTTTTTTATTCCTGGGAGTCTTCATGAATGTCTTGAACAAATCCATCAAATTCGCATTTCCGTTTTCGACACTTTGCTTCCTTTGCCTCCATTTAATCCTTTTATGAGGGTCTAGGGTTTAGGGCGGAGGGTTTAACTTGTAGGGTTTAGAGTTTAGGGTTCAGGGTTTAGGGTTTACGAACTATGGATTAGGGTTTAGGGTCTACGGTTTAGGATTAAGGGTTTAGGATTTGGGGTTTAGGGTTTAGGGTTTAGAGTCAGGAAGACCAGCTCACGGAGCGCTTCTTGGAAGCAGCAGCTTTCAGCCTGCTGCGTAATTCAGTAAACCCTAAAACCCTAAACCCTAAACCCTAAAAATCGGCCTAATGCATAGTTCAGAACGCTTTAAACACTCAAATTCAGCAGAATATGTTATTCATCAAATCCTAAACCCTTAAATTATAAAAGCAGAGGAGAAGAACTCTTTTTAGATGGAGATCACGCAGGGCGTACAGACAGCCGTTGTGTGTCGCGGCCACAGACCCTAAACCCTAACCCCTAAGCTTAAAACCTAATCTTCTACATGAGAGAAGGTAGATCTGTAAGCCCTTAACCCTTAAAATGTATTTAGGGTTTAGGGTTTAGGGTTTTGGAATCAAAGAGGAACTCAAAGAAGGAAAATGGGCCCCAACGAGCGGCTGACCAGTGCCGACACCCTGGGGTGTACAGACACCCGACTAGGGTTTAGGGTTTAGGGCTTAAGGCGGCTTTTTCAGTTTATTTCTCAGTTTAATTTAATTGAAAAACATTATATAAAAGGATTTTCATTGCAGCAGCCCAAATGTGGGGCCAGCCAGAGCAGCGAACGCAGCCGCAGCAGCAGCAGCAGCGGCAGCAGCAGCAGCAGCAAGTCGCATAGACAGCAGCCGCGAGCGATTCGTAGGGCTAAACCTTAAGCCCCAAACCCCAAGCCTTAATATCTTTAGACATCTCCATTTACTTTTTTAGTATTTACACTGCAAGCGCTGGTTGCCTGCCCTATTTGCGAGGGTTTAGGGTTTAGGGTAAAGGGTTTGGCGGCAGTCGCTGGGACTAGCGATGATCTTTGAGGCCCCATCTAGGGTTTAGGGTTTAGGGTTTAGGGCTTTGAATTTGGCGCTATGTCTGCAGTTCTTCAAAGCTCCTTCTACTCAACTGCTGCTACAGCTGGCGCTGCTGCTGCTTGCGTGTTGTCTCTGCTGCCGCTGCTGGCCCACGGCTGCCGGCTGCTGCTGCAGCAGCGCAGCAGCAGCAGCAGCAGCAGCAAAGCAGCAGCAGCAGCAGGGACTGTCCAAACAGCCCCCAAGACCCTCGCCCTCCGCATAATCCTGATAGTGCCAGTGTATGCAGCAACTTCCCTGCTGGCCTTTCTCTACTGCTCGCCTGCTGCTGCTGCTGCTGCAGCAGCTCCTGCTGCTGCAGCAGCTCCTGCTGCAGCGGACAGCCCTTTTGCCGTTTCCGCGTCGGGCGCTGGGCCAGCAGCAGCTGGAGGGGAGGTGCCGGGCCGCGCTGCAGCGGCAGCAGCAGCAGCAGCAGCAGCAGCAGCAGCGCTGCAGCAAGGCAGCGGTGGCTGGAAGGGCCTCTGGCTGCGGGGAATCAGAGAAGGCTATGAAGTCTATGCCCTTTATGCTTTTCTAGAACTTCTCATTGCGCTGCTGGGGGGGGAGCAGCAGGCAGTCAACCAGCTCCACCTCAAGGTCTGCTGCTGCTGCTGCTGCTCCTGCTGCTGCTACTGCTGCTGCTCCTGCTCCTGCTCCTGCTCCTGCTGCTACTCCTGCCGCTGCTCCTGCGGCTGCTCCTGCTCCTGCTCCTGCTGCTGCTCCTGCTC